GTTTTGGTGAAACCGTGGTAGATTATTTTATTTGGCGGAAACGGATATTGGTGGAAAAGGGAAACATACACTTTAGGTGGAAACTGGCATCGCCCGTGACGAGATATACTCCACACCTATTTTGTCATCACCTATTTAACAGTGACGTTTCTGAGGGGGGCGCGGGGGGACCTTATCGGAATTTTTTTATTGATTATGTTTTTAATCACGATTTAGCCGATGTAGGAAATAAAATAATACATTATTTAAATAGCCTATTCCCTCCTCGATTGAGTTCCAGCTACACTACTATATACCTATTATCTAATATCATTGACCAACCTCTTCGTTATCCAGCGCTATTTTTTTTTTTATTCGCTTGTCCAAACGTGTATCGACGTTGTAATATTCTATGAGATGGTCAAAAAATTCGTTTATGCCACCGATCAATTGACAGGAACCGTTCGAGTTGAGTATGCGTTTCCAGACCAGCGGATTTTTGTCGATCTTCCATTTTTGTTCGTAACAGAATTTTTCCATCCAATCCTTTAAAAGTTTAAAAACGTTATAGAGACTATTAAAATAATTATTCACTATTTCAATACAATAATAATTTAACTTGTYACATGCATGTACTACTTATAGGTACCATATACTATATGTGTATATAGCATTCACGCGGTACACTCGTTGTATCTTGTATGATAATAATATCATGCTGGCTTATGTGTACGTACCTTCATCAGGGAGTAATTKTGTATAGTACGACACCCTTTGTGTAGTGCGAAATTCCAAGTGTTTAATACAAAATTATAAAGCGTCTAATGTAAAATGGCCTGTAATAACTATATATATTATATATAGTAACTTTTTTTACAGCTTTTTCTTAAATTAATAATAGATAATGTTTTCAAGGTCGATACCATTTCATTGTGACGTGATCTATAGTCTATACCCTTTAGATGAAGACAAATATAAATATGTAGAACCAAAAAAATATACTAAAAGAATAAAATTAAAATAAATAAATAGTTAATCATATAAATGTAACTAAATAAARTAAAATACCCTATGTTTATGTTTACACTTTTTGGGGAGGGGGTGAGTAGCATAGACCCCCTCCCCCGTTAATCCCAAGCTATATATTATAAATTGTGTAATACGAAAAAAATATATTTTAACCTATGACCTCCACGCATCGACACAAAGGTACTGATAAATATGTTATGACATTTAATAGAATAWAGCTAACAGTTAACAGACTTGAAAACGTAATAGATCGAATAAACGAGATTTTAGTCGTTGTTATCGTAATATTATATTATACTTATACTGTTCATGGGTCGGTGTAATAATTCAACGTCAATCACRATATTTGATGCCCTTTACGCTAATAAAGTTTACCAACTATTTCCGTCTATCTTCCAACGGTGGTGAATGATGTATGTGTTGTGTGTACGCGACGCAGTGGTATGAYGTGCAGTCTGTTCTTAGATTGATCATTTAAAAAATTGTATTTCGGATATCACAACAACAATATAGTGTGGCTTGGTGAGGCGCGGTCGTACACTCAATCTGCGGAAACGCACTGAGCGTAAGTTCCGGCCGCAGTTGCTAGCAAACGGATGGGCGACCACTCGGGATTTTTAGCAACATATCCTTGCCATACATGCACATACCTAACACGTGTTACAATCCTACCAAACCAAAAACCTACAAACAAAAATAACCCCCACCGCGCAATGCCACCCCACACCCAATGGGCAATGTTACTGCGAGCCTCCTAAGAAAATGTATAGTATTAAACATAAATTTAATTTACTCTGTCCAGCGAGAGAACGCGACGATTTAGCACACTTCCCCCCCGTCTGTATCCTGCTCTCGAATCTGGTTCAGCTAGGGCTGGGGGTAGCGCAGAAAAGCCGAAAATTCAGTCRGCCCATCACGGCTCGTACTCTCTTTGGACAGAATATGCGTCACAATAATAGGTATATTATTATATAATATAACAATATGGTTGGGCAACAACATTATTGTATACCATTGCGACGATGTATATTATATTTGGCSCAGAAAATAATTTAATGTTCGTCATAATAATTACCTACTCGATATTCTTCTTCAGTTTTTACTACGATTTTATACGAGAAATTGGGAAGAGCGTGTCTTAATTTCTCGGCGATGAGTTTTGCGTGACCGAAGTCCTGRCATTTGGGCACGCCAGCAATGAAGTATGTGAACATATTGAACCGAAAAGCGGTGCACTATAAAACAAAATCTCTAAGGTTGTGGCGTCTAAGATGTAGTTTTTTTTTTAGCATCTAGTTCGACGTATTATTGTTATTGATGAACGATTGTTTGTCCTCCATAGAAACGATTTTTTTCATTGCCCGATACATTCTTACATTAAGCTATATTATATAGCATATACTTTGGTAGGTATATAACATGCGCAACGCTTGTGATCTAAAGGTAAATCGTACATAATTCATTATTAATTGTGAAMAACTAATCATTTATAGGTATAAATATAAATTGTAACCAATAATAAACTAAATGTCAGAAAGTATATGCACTTAATTAAAAAAAAAAAAAAAATGCGATCGTATGAATGAAATATGACTTGTGCCTATTGTGGCACAATTGATTGAAAATTGATTTCATTAACGATGCAGCTCATTACATTTTTAGTAATATTATTTATTATTATTTATGGAAAAAAATTCGTTAATATCTATATTATAACTACCTTTTTTTTTTCCTTCTTGAAACCGCTATATTAACTACTTACTTTAAGTGTTATATTATTCATTTACCGTACATTCGTACCAGAGTAGGGCGTTATTCGAATAAAATATTATTCAGATGATTATTTAAATAACATTTTATTCGAATAAATTATTATTCGGATGATTTTTTCACAATTATTCGAATAAAAATTATAGTTGGCATTCTATTTTAAGTTACATAATTGTAAATTTTATTTTATTCGGAAAAACAAATTAAGTTATTCTACCTAACACCAAAAATCTGAGACTATAGTACTGAAACTGGACTATACTGTCTATACTAGATAAAATAATAA